CATAGTGAGGTAGATATGTGGGGGCGTGTTAGAACGAGCCGTTTTAGGGGGGCGTGGCAGAGTCTTAACTTTGATAAAGAATATCTCTTTGGTTTTGAGACTTTAGTCTTTGCAACTTCAGGGATCTTATCTATGCACAATCAGCTTGTAACACTCCAAAGAGAAAGGAAAACTTGAAATCGCATCATATGACCCCTTTAATACAAAATATAAATAATATTATATAATGTATGTATACTGAAAAATGTCCTCCTGCTAAATAATTAGACTTAGTTTTATTTAGATATTGATTATATACTGTAGATATCAGATGTATAACTTATTAACTGTATTGATATACATTATATGTTTGTATAATAGCCATCTGTTGTAGAAATATCTAGAGGGAATGTCAAACAGCTCTATAAATCTTGTGAAACGCCTCTGTGGCATCTCAGGAATGGCTTGTTTGTTGAATGCCGCTTTATTCCATGTGTTGAAGGAACTAATGGTGCCATCTTCTGTTTTTCCCGGCTCTAACGGCCTCATAATCTGCTGAGAGCTGTAATGGCTGGATTGATTTGAGGCGTGGAGTAATGCGCTTTCTCCCATTGTTTCAGTCAAGTAAACATGATGTAGAGCATAAGCGTCCATCTGTGTTCTGAAATCACAACAGAGCAGCTGGTGTCAGTCGCCTGCTGGAGGTCTCGCGGGTCACGTGACCCGGCCGGCCCTGAGGTTCGTGGGGGTTCATCTGTCAGGGGTGTACAGTATCCCCTGTGGGTATGTATTACTTCACCCCGAGATGCCCTGCTGGTGAACCAGAGCAGAGACTGTAAAAATAACCCTTACCCCCTTCCCATACTGCCTCTGTGATGAGCTAGGGTTGCTGGGTAGATGAATCAGTTATCTGATACACTGCTCTGTTGTCTTAAAATAGAGGCAATAAAGTGTTTTTAACTATATGTATGTATTTTGTGTAAATGTTAAATTGTTCAAGCATTACTGAAATTATTTGAACTTGCACCTTTACAGAATTGCTTACACCTTTAATAACATCCGTATTGTTCCCAATATTTTTAGTAATATTAATATTATATATTATTTTGACTAAAAAGTGAAAAAATGTCATATAAAATATTAATATAAATAAAATATTTATTATAAAACGAATGGTTCCGGTCCTTGATTCTGATTGGTTGAGCCGCGTTCGAAGCTGTTGTAAATTACTCTATAAACATACACCTTTGTTTACGTCTGTGTGTTGCTCGGCGACCACAACTTGTTTCTGAGGAACTACATTGTTTTGGTGGAAGAATAATGTTTTTATTAATATCATTAAACTTTATTTGCTCTGTTTTATTCTGTGAAACCTTACTGCATTATATGGAATAACCGTTTTATAAAAGCAGTAAGCCCCGTGAAGCTGTGGTTTACAGTGAATTTATAACAGCTAGGAGCGTTGTTAGGCACGACGCGACCCCCTTAGCTGTTATAAATTCACTGTAAACCACGGCTTCTTGGGGCTTATTGCTTTATTTATTTATTTGGTGTACATTTTTTGTGTGTTATTCCAACTTTACTGAAATTATTTTAACTTTGAATAGTTACGGCATCCAACAACATCAGTATTGTTCCCACAATTTTCCCCCTCACTTTATTTGTACATTTAATATTACAAAAAATTTCAGTTTTTGAAAATGCAATTTAAATAATGTTCCCAATATTTGTAATAATATTAATGTTATTTTCCCCCAAAATGGTTTAACTTCTTTGCAGATGTTTGATTTTTTTTTTTATCACTCTAAATATATCAATAAATTAAATATTAAATTAATTAAAAATAATCACATCATACAGTAAGTTGAATATTCACAACATTTTAGAGACGTATTGCGTATTGTTTCTTTTGACTGAAAAAAGGGAAATAAATTAATGTAAAATATAGACGCATTATAAAATGTGTATTTAAATATTTTAACAAATGCAAATTACAATTACATTTTAATTAAGGAATAATTATATTAAATAATTATAAATATTCCTATGACTTAAAAATATTTTTAAATGTTTAATATGGTGCTTCTGTTGTTCCAGCATTACTAATAGTATAATCATTGTTCCCAATGATTTTAATAATATGATTTTATTATATCATGTTATTTTTTCCCCAAGATTTCTATACAGATTGATCTCATGCAGTCGATTTGAAAGAATGATTTGTTCGCAGATCGGACATCACTAGTGTGTGACTGTTGCACAAGGGCTTTATGTTTCTTTTCCTCTTCATGAGCTCAGATCGGATGGGATTATATGGAAATCTCGTGTATATGTTGACTAAAGTTTTCTCTGTTGTGAATGAGGCAGGCGATTAGTTCTGACCCTGATAAAAACCATAAATATAGGTTAGCCATGTATTATGTGCTTATGTTGAGCTGGATTCAGTGCTCGTGAATCAAATCCAAGGAGAACGATATACTTTTCACAGTAAAAGCTAACGGTCAGTTTGTTTGATAAATATCTCAATTCAATTTTTTGTGTAAATTATTTTTATATTTGTATAGGAACTTATTTTTTGCATGTGATATTATTTCCTTTGTGATAAGCACAGACATTTCCTTTCTGATTGCGAATTTTTATTACTGTAAAATAAAATCTTTGTTAATACAGTAATGAAAATCATGCTGATACAATGTATTTATTTTTATTAAAAATGCATTAAATTCACTATAACAAATACTTCCATAATGTATACATTGTCATGTCATTATTTTTTCCACATTGCAGTACAGATAGGCTCATTTGGGAAAAATGTGCTTTACTGTCATGAAAGAAAATAAAAATCACAATGCATTTTGTTTTGGATAACACAAAATATTTTGCATCTTACTTTGATTTTGGGGTGAAATATGGCTCTAGACAGAGTTCATGTTCTAGACAGATTGCATGGGATGGAGCCAGTTTCTGAAAAGCTTAAGAAGCTTGTGAATTAATTTAATCTGTTAACCCTTAGTTTTCAACAGCACCTACCACTGAGTAATAACAGATGAACCAGAATATGATTTGACTTTGGGTTTCCTTGATGTTGAACCAAAAGCACTCACCCTTCCCGCCCTGCGCTGATTAAAGATCTCCAGGGGAATTTACTGTCGGGTTGGTTTTGGGGTCTAAATGCCCGCATTGTGATGCGAGCAGTGATGCTGTAAGTGGGCGGAGTCTGTGTGATAATGACAGACCTGTGTGTGAGGTCATCAGTCATTGGCTAAAATGAAAGACTGAGGCTGTTCAAAATGCAAAACACTAGCATACTGATTCAAAAAATACTATGTGCTTTGCATACAGATCATTTGCATAATACACACACATACTGCTGAAAAAGACTGTTATGGTAGTATGCTATTACAAAAAGCCACAGGAATACTAGAATACTGCTTAAAGCACATTATACTGTGGGTCTACTATTTAGGGTTACCATGGTACGCCTGTTAAAAATGTCAGGAAAGAGTGCCGAGACGAGTGAAACCTTGGAAAGACGGGGCCAGGACGAGAAGTGATCTTGATTCAGGGCTGGTTGAATGACAGGACAGAAGGAGTGTGGGAGCGGGCTGTCCTTTCTTTCTTCTGTTTTTCTTCCAGAGCTCAGATGAAGGAAATAACTCCCCGTTTGGCCAATTTTCCCCATTCAAGGCCCTTGAGCCTTTCACGCCTGTGTGAAAGTGAAGGGCCGCCCAGAGCCAATT